ATCACTGTCCCCTGATAGGCCCACCAGGTCACCTCCCGCAGAGGGAGGCCGATGGCAGCTGCAGCAGTGGGGTGATGGGGGGCGGGGCCGGCTACTCGCTAGCCAAGCGCTGTCCCTCAGCCCACCTGTAGCTTCCTGCAGAGGGCTGTCAATCGGACATCCCCTGAGGGCTCCCGGACTGCAAGAGGGCGCAGGCTGGGCTGAGGGACCCCCCCTCCAGTGCATGAATTTTCATGCACTGGGCCTCTAGTACTTATATAATTAAAAATTATAAGCATTAATTACTGAGCTAGCAAAAATTGTACTCAAGTATATTGGGGATGGGCATGAGTAAAAAGTGTTATATCTTAATCTTCTGTAATCAGAAGCAGATAGGTAATACTTAAATTTGAAAAAATAAAATATGCATGTTATTTAAAAATATAGAGGTAATTCCAGCCCCCACCTCAAAAAAAAAAAAGATAAAAACTCCACAGCCACAAAACAACAAAAGCAATAAAAACAAAATAAGCTCCAAAGTTAGAAGTGGTTGCTTTTGGGAGGTGAAAACTGCTAGTTTTGTAACATGCCTCATAGACCTATTTGATTCTTTATACTATGTGCATGTAGAACACACAAAAGTGATAAGTTTAAAAAGTGTAAATAAAATTTGCATAAATCAAGTTGCAGTTTAGTAAGATAGCTGACAAGTTAGGCTAAAGAACCCTTCTAGTAAATTTTTGTCATGCTTATTTTATAGTACATAAATTTGACTTGAAGTTACAATAAGCATACCTAATGTGTAGTTTGATCAATAATCACTTAAAAGAAAACTAAATCAAGAATTAAGGCAATAGCTACTGAAAGCAACAATAGTTGTCTAGGGACATATATGCTACAATATGATCCCTTTTGTTATTGTTTTACACAGAGCACTCCCAGTTACTGCTTTGTGACCTTACTCTACATTTTAATCACCCTGTGAAGACAGATGACTCCAAGGAAACAGAAAGAAACAAGCCCCTCTTTGAAGAGTTTAAACTGTCAGATGTATCCCTTACTTCTAACCGCTTTTCTTCCTAATTTCTTATCTGTTGTGAATTTATAACTGTATGTATTGTTGAATTAACAAGTATCTTGGAGAACTGAGTTTACTAATATATTTAATATAATAAAATATACTGAGTTATAAATAATCATTTTATGTTCCTGAAGGCTGTTGTATTATTGTTTTAATATTTCAAAGAATGGCTAATTTATTTCACTAATGGCAAGGGTATGACATAGGAAATTGGCCATGTGACACTGCTTGTCATTTACATTATGCTTGAATTTGGCTCAGGCTGAAGGAGAGTCACTAAATTATAAATGGATGGTATGAGTTTATGTTAATAAGCTGTCTCCTGGTAGCAGGTGCCCAAAACAACTCAAGCTAACTGAAGCATGTATTGGATCACCTGACTTGGAAATCCATGGTGGGAGTAGATGTCAAGGACTCTGCTAATGGACCAGATGGCTCTGTCCTGGTTCTGTTTCTGTGCATTGGTCTCATCCTCTCCTGTTATGGACTGGTTTCCTCCACAAGACCAAAGGATGGTAGAGGCATGGCAGCAGACAACTGCAGGTGTGCAGACCACTCCAGGTGTGCAGATCCCTAGAGGAGAGAGACCCTCTAATTCAGCCTCTGTGTTTAGCATCCCAGGGAAGGATGCCAGCTTTGGTTAAGATTCTTATTCCTGAGCAGGGTCCTAAGCAACTGTGATTGGTGAGGCTGGGCCATATGCCAGGTCTGTGGTCAAAGGCGGAGAGGCCCTACCAGCACAATGGAGTTGCCGTTGCCTAAAGAAGGGGAGGAAGAATGCTAGTCATGAAAACATCAGGTACTCACCACTGATTTCAGTCATGGCCATGGATAGCTTTTAGCCTTACAATATCTTTACCCTAAACTTCCTAATTTCTGTCCCTTTCCACCCAAGGAGACTTAAAATAATAGGCTTTGGTTTGCCATGTAAACATGATTCACTACCAAATAGTTGCTTTGAAATCTACCATGTCCTTCATTTTAGATATTTTTTAATATAAAGGACAGAATACTATGAAGCAAGACACAAAGTCAGCTCACTCCATAATAGAACTTATAATGGTTGCTAGACTCACTACCCAGCACCAAGCTCAGTATTTAACACAGAACAGGGACTGAATAAATGCTTGTTGAATATGCTATTGAATAAACATGTAACTAGTGCAGGTTTTTGCTCCATTTTAGATATTTTTTAATATAAAGGACAGAATACTATGAAGCAAGACACAAAGTCAGATCACTCCATAATAGAACTTATAATGGTTGCTAGACTCACTACCCAGCACCAAGCTCAGTATTTAACACAGAACAGGGACTGAATAAATGCTTGTTGAATATGCTATTGAATAAACATGTAACTAGTGCAGGTTTTTTCAGCTTTAGAACTCCTAGTTCTGGACCCTAAATTGAGAACTTCGGCTTGTAAGGATGATGTTTTGTGAAACATTTTTATCATCATTGGTTAAAAGTATCCACACACTCATCAGACCACATTGTCAGTTTTAACCCGGTGACACTCTTGATCCCTTCCATGTTCTATTAGCTCATGAATGTGTAGATTAAGCAGAGAAGCAAACAATTTTTCTTAGTAAAAGTTGTGGACGAATAACCAAGGGCCCAAAAGGGAAAACTTGAAGAATCACTGAATGACAGGTTTTTGTTTTGCAAAATGCCTACTGCTTGTTAAGTGAGATTTGTTAGCGAAGGAAAGAGCTGCATTGCTTTGCAGGATTTATGAAGCTCTTATGAGAAGGTTGAGGAAAAGGTCTTTATGACAGTTGTCAGAGGGATAAAAAGAGGCGGAAGAAAGGTTATCTGGCCAGATATTTTTCTGTGTATGTTCACTGCTTTTTCATCTTCCCAGGAAGACTTTGGTAAAATCTACAGCCAAATCCTTGACATCTACTCCTACCATGGGCTTCCAAGTCACATGACCCAATACATGCTTCTTGGTACTTAAATCCAAGTGTATTTGATTTAAAATGTTTTCTTTTTGTATTTATAGCTTAAGTTTGCTTTAAAACAAAAATATAATAGTACGGACCAAACAGTAAAGCCAATAAAGTTGTTTTAGGAACCCGAAAGTAAAGCAAAAGGCAAATTAATTTTAATTCCAGGAAGTTACTCCAACATGCATTTATCTTTTCATAAAAAAGTATACAAAAATCCCCCCAACAAAAAGAAACACCAAATAAGAGAGAATGAAATATTTTTGAAGCCTTTTAAATTATTGCTGCAAAGAAAGTTAATTTTAGAAATTTTCAAATTACTAGTATACATATAAAAACTCATGATTGCCACTGACTGACAAGGTATGGCTATCAAAAAATCAGTTTTATGTGATAACAAAAGCTATTATTGTTTAAATGTTTTGAGACTTGCCCCAAGTTATTTTTGTAGCTGTGGAAACTACTGTACTTTGAAACAGGTATCAAAAATGCACATTATTTGCACAAATCATTACAGTGCACGCCTACAGTGACAGTGTGCACATTACCACTCATGCACTTCACAAACACTGAAGAAGAATAAATAAATTATGGGACACATGACAGTCTTCTTTTCAAATCTTTGTTAAGTGAAAGGACCAAACCCTTGTATTCATGCTGAGGGGTTCGATTCAGTCCTGAGTGTTTGTCCAGCCACCCAGGTTGGCTGATCTTCCGCACTGGCAACAGTCAGGGAAGGTTCGCCTGCTCGGCTAACGTGCTACAGGCAACCTGCCGAATGGGTCAACGTGCACTGGTATCTGGAGCCTCGGTTCTTCCCATCGATGAGCAGGAGCGGCATTTTCCGGAAGTAGTCGATAATATCTGACACAGACAGAAAGTCCTGAAAGATTCAAAACGGAGATAAATCAACCCTGGAGCAGGTAGCATGAATTGCACCCTCAGTTTTTTAATCTGCATAATATCTTACCTCTTGAAGTTAGGAGGATTTTTATTTTTTTAACGTAAAATTTGACAAATGTTTTAATGATTTCTGCTGTCACCAACATCCAATATACTATGGATAAAAGACTATATATTTATCTATCTATCTATCTATCTATCTATATATATGTGTGTGTGTGTGTGTGTGTATGACTAATTTTTAAAAAATATATTTTATTGATTTTTTACAGAGAGGAAGGAAGAGGGATAGAGAGTTAGAAACATCTATCAGCTGCCTCTTGCACACCCCCTACTGGGGATGTGCCGACAACCAAGGTACATGCCCTTGGCCGGAATCAAACCTGGGACCCTTCAGTCTGCAGGCCGACGCTCTATCCACTGAGCCAAACCAGCTAGGGCGACTAATTTTTTTTTAAACTTCAGACAGGGGATCATATATAGAGGGGTCTAATTATGATACCTTGGCCTTTGCCTCTCTTGGTGTTTTTGATTTTGGTTTCTGAATCCCATATCTCAGTCATTAATATGTGAGGAGGTGTAGGAATCAGGAGGCCACTGTCCCTGGTGTCTGGAGGGGACATCTGCAACATGGCATAATAGTTCCTTCAGGATCTCTCTGCTGCCTGCCCACTGCCACCCCCGCACTCACCAGGGCTCTGTAGCCAAGTCTGCATTCAGTGCCTGGATCACCTATCCCCAAGGGCCAGACTGGGAAAACCCCATCCACCCTTCTAGGTGGGTCAGAAGTCACCTAGGTATCTCGACAGGACCGTGCACTTCCTCTAAGACCACTCTGCTAGGCACCTCCCTCGGAGCAGCTGTGATTCAAACACTTGACCAAAATCATGTGGGGGCTTTTTTCCTACTCATTTACATGATCGTAACTGAAACACATTTGGAGTGAAATGGAAGTTACGGTGGGCTGTTTCTCAGTCTGGGAATGTTTGGTTTGGCTGATCCTCCCTCCTGGAACTTTGAACTTAAAGAACACTTTTGGGGCAGTAAATTTAGCTGTTAGTTTCCTTTGCAAAAAGCAGCCCTGAAAGGCTTTCCTCATAACTGGATTACCACCCAAAAAGTGACTGGTATAAACCTCGGCTGAACAGAGGAAGATGTCTTTGGCAATTTGGCCACCTTCATTGGCCACACCTCCAGTTTAGTAGGAAATGAATCAAGTATCTAAATAATCACCACAACAAACATTCTATTTTTCCCTCTTCCATTTGTTGATTTAAAATACAGCCTTATAAATACCCTGCAATCTTACATTGAAATGATGTGGCAAAGATGACTGAGAAGGGACTTGCCTTTGACACCATCCAACTGGAGCTCTTTTGAGAAATGTAAATGTTTACATATATTTTCTGATTTCAAAAGTTGCACATGTGACTTTAGATTATTTGGAATAAAAGGTAAAAGAAAGATTCCTGTGGTAGAGGTGTGGCTACTGTTAATATTTTGTTTTATTGCCTTTCCGTAAATGAAGGGTTTCACGAACATGATTTAACTTAAGCTGCCGTACAGTATGGACCTGCAAAGAATGTTACAGTGAAGTTCCACTCGGTAGGTATGCAGGGAAGCAGAACAAGAGAATTGGGGAACATTTTGCAACTCAAGTCCTTACCTCCTTCCCTCGGAGCCCAGTTCCCAGCATGTAAACGTGGCTTTCCTCCACGTAACGGATCTGGACGTTGTAGACCTTGTCTTTGTATAACACCATGAGGACGTACGGATTGCTTGGTGTTTTCCTCGAGCTGTCTCTAACCAGGAAAGTGCCATCCTGAAAGGAAACATTCATGTGGGGATGGGAACAGTAAGTCAACAGTGGGCCAGTCTCTAGGGATCTGGAAAACTATGGGTTACAAGCCAAGCCAGTGAACATTCAGGTCCCAAACTGCTAAAATCCCAGGAATGGTTATGGGGAAGGAGACAGGAGAGAAAGGTCTAAGTCAACCTCTGCAGTCTCTGATGAAAGGCGTGCCCTTCTCGGTAATGAAACATATAGGCGCGTGAGTGGGCCCAGGGCCAGGCGACATAAGGACTTGGTCAGCTAAGGAGGTAGCTCCCTACTCCTGGGAGCTAATTAATGTCCTTGCCCTTCTTCCCTCAGCCAAAGCCAGAAAACACCCAAACGCCTTGAAATTCACGCACTTTTTTAAACCTCCTGACCTCCAGGTGGAGTGTTC